ACACTAGGGTGTAGAACAAGGTCTAACCAATGCGAATAGAGAGCGAGGGGTCAGCAGAAGACGGAAAGAACTACAGAGAAGCAAGTATGGTGCGAAATGTGTCACGCTACTCATGGGGTGCCTAACGCAAGTCGTAGATAGGGCAGCGCAGGCTCCATTGGGTCCCAGGTGGGAATACCCAGTGAAGCCTAGTGGGCACCGGAGATAGATCTGCTTGTGTAGACTACCCTGCAGGAAGGCTGTGGAGAACTCAAGTAAGTGAAGCTCGTAGACATGCTGTGCGGCTTGGTAATAGAGCACCCGAAGAATAGTCATCTTTGGGGTAGGGGAGAAGGTCTAGAAGAACTCCACACCCTCTTGCTGATTGAAGCCTCTAGCAACGTAACATGCCTCGAACTTCGGCGGTTCTCCAAGTGTGCGTGTCACCTTGTAGATCCACATGCCATCGATTACGGTTGCTCCAGGCGGGGGCAACTGCGTCAACGCAAGTGTATGTGGATCTGTAAGATGTCATCTTAGCCTCCATCACCTGTATCCATTAGGCTACCCAGGGCCCTGACACCACCTCAGAGTAAGAGCGCGGGATAGAGATGTCGAGGGCGTCCGGGTTGCCCTCTAGGGATACAAGCATGGAGCAGAGATGGGGTACAGTGACAACAAGGTAGGCCAGCTCATACTGCCTGTCCTCTAGCACGTCACTACCAAGAGAAGGTGCACCCCTGAGGAACAGAGGACCTGTAGTACCAGAGACCAGAGCAAGAGTGTAGTCAAGGTAGTGGCTAGTAGCGAAATCAGCGACAGCAGCGACAAGTGCAAAGACAGACTCAGGAGGAGTGGTAGGGTCAGTGGCAAGCGATGTAAGCAAGTGCGAGAGGACTAAGATGAGCAGTGCGAGCAGAGTCAGTGGGAGGAGCAAAGGATGACGGGGAGCGATGATTGGGGAGGTAACAGAAGGATCGGGACTAGAGGAGCATGAGAACGAAGGACTATAGGGTGGACACCAGGACGAGGGGAGACAAAACGAGCACTAGGGGGACGACGGACCAAGTGTGGAGGAATGGGGGACTGGGGACGAGGGGGGAAGGGGGTCAAATACAGGGGACGGTGGAGACCCGGGGAATATGAGCCGAAGAGCGGTCCGGGGGAGGGAACAGCTGGCCGTAAACAGGGTCAGGCACAGGAGGAGGGACGGGCGGTCGGTCAGGGGAACCGGAGGAAAGATTAAGGAGACGAATGACAGACTGCGGCTGCTGCTGCTGCTGCTGCCGCGACAGCTTCTGTGGCGGCTGCTGCTGCTTGCTGTTGCTACGGTTGTGGCTGCGGCTGCTGCTGCTATGCTGTTGCTGCTCCCTATACTCGCCAGGACGTCCAGCTCCACCTCGATGACAACAGGCAGTCTCCGAAACAGCACCCCTAACGCACCACCCATAGATTCAGCACCCCCAGAGTGAGCACCCCCAGATTTAGCACCTCCAGAACCAGCACCCCCCAAACTAGCACCTCCAGAACCAGCATCCCCCAAACCAACACCCCTAGAGCCTACTGCCCCCTGCTGCTGCTGCTGCTGCGGCCGCTGACTCTACAACGGTGGCTGCGGCTGCTGCCAAGGTAAGGGGGGAGGCTGCTGGGGCGCCTGGGGTACCTGAGCTAGGGGAGACACCGCAGGGACAGCAGGTGCACCCCCAGGAGCTGGCCCCCCAGAGTCACCAGACCCCCTACAGGACCGATCAAGGGGAACAGAGTGGCATGAGAGACACCTGACGAGGCTAGGCATGGTGCGGCAGGCAGCACATGGGCAAGGAAGAGAGGAGGAGGAGGACAGGAGAGTAGTGGTAAGGGAATCGCTGGTAATAGGGGAGCGTCTCGTCGAAGGTAACGTCACAAGAGCGGTACAAGCGGTGGTGTAGGAGTCGTAAATTTGCCAGTCAGGGGCATCTAGCGGAAACCCGAGGAAAACACATGGACGAGAGTGCGGGCCGAGAGCTTGTCCGCTCAAGTGGCGCAGATGTGAGCAAGGCTACCCTAGAAGCGTAATGCAATAGCGACACCAGGAGACCTAGTCTAGAGACGGGTCGACAAAACATGTGGTCGTTGGGAGCGTGGCCATAGGTTAAGCTAATGAGCTGCATAGTGCACAGCGAACGACCACCGAAAATGGGGTGCACCGTCGTGGACCAAGGAGGTGCGAGCTACCTCCATGACAAGAATGATGTATTGCTCAACGTTCCCATTCTGCCGTGGAGATTCCGACAGTGTGTACAATTGGGAGATGCCCTCCGCACAACAGGACTATCGTATTGTGCTAGAGGCGAACTCGCCATCACGATCAGAGTGTAAATGAACTACAGGCAGGCGGTGCTGGATACGAGTGGTGAGCAGCCATGGGAGGAGAATGGTAGGCATGTCGGCCTTCCGGTCCAATGGGAACACAGTGGTCTAGCGTGAGAAGTCGTCAACTACGACTAGAAGGTAGCACTCCCGGCTAAGCGGTGGCGCAAGGGTCGGGTGGGTGAGGGATCGACAAGAGCATGACGCGATTACTCCATGGACGCAGCAGCAGGCACAGTGTGTAGGGTGAGAGGCTAGACGCTGGGTCATGCTCAAAAGTGGCTACATCTCTACTCGTGGTTGTGTCCGTACAGTCCACGTGCCTTGCATAGCCAGGAAACGTGGTGGTGACTCCTTGGTCCTGGAGGTGATCGACACCAACTAGGTCTCTGGCAAATGTAGGGATGTGCAGACGTGTGAGGGAGCCAGAGGGGACAGGTGGACAAAGGAGAGTGGTGGTGCTGCGTGCGACTACAGTGGCAGAGGAGTCTGCCACAGAGATCTGGATCGGTGCAAGAAGTGGGGTGAGAGCAGTACTGTCTCAAAAGAAGCAGTGAGACGCGCACGAGTCGAGTATGAAGGAGAGGGCTGCCATAGGAGGGGCAGGGGAGGAGCCTAGGGGACATGTAGTAGAGGCTCCTAGACACACACTAAGAGAACCTAGACCCCTAGGCCCCAGGCTCCCGACCCTCCAAAGAAACCACACAGGCCCCAGGGCAATGACCGCCCCGGGGCCTCACCTCCAGAGCCTCCACCGTGCGCAACACCCCAAAGACCCCACTGTGGCTGCTGCTGCGGCTATTGCTGCTGCGGCAATGGCCAGAGCCCGGAAGCGGACGTCGAGGTCATGGAGCTGGAAGCCAAGGAGATAACTAATGTGGTCCTCCAGGAGCGTGCAGTCTATGTGCTGGCTCACCAGCTGTAGACGGTGTGAGAGAAACCAGAGAGCGGAGGGAAGTGCCTGGCGGTCCAGCCGAGGGACTGACCCTAACGAGGCCATCATGCCGAGAGGAGAAGTGTCGAGGAACGCTAGAAACGAGGAGGTGACTAGTGGGAGGCGCTAGAGACTACAGGAGTACTGACAGAGGTAGTAGCAGTGGCGGTTGTGGCCGGAGCGGCGGTCTGGCAGTGGCGGCTAGTGGCAGGCTAGCAGCAGCGGCGACTAGTGGCAGGAAGATGGCAATGGCGGCTAGCTGGCAACGGGCTGGTAGTAAGAGGTGGCAAGCTGGGAGCAAGCTGGGGAGCTGGCAGCAAGCTGGTGAGCTAGCGTGCTGGCAGCTGCGGCTAGAAGCTGCTGGCGGCGAGTTGGCAGGTGTGCTGGCAAGCGCTGCTGGCAGTGAGCTGGCAGGTGTTGCTAGCGACGAGCTGGCAGGCGTTGCTGGCAGCTAGCTGGCGGCGGCTAACTTGGCTGCGAGTGGACAGTGGCTAGTGAGTTGCTGGCGGTAGGCTAGGGGCAGCTAGGGGGAGTGGGAACCAAAGGAGGAGCCAGTACGCGCGAGAGGAGCTACTAGGAGCAGCACGCCAAGGTGCAAGCAAGGAATCACTAGGTCTAGCAGCATGAGCCAGTGTGAGGCGGCACAGGGCGAATGACAGTCTACAGGGCACAGGGGAACTCACAAGGCTGGCGGCCGACTAGCAACTGGCGGCTGGCGGCTGGTGGTCGGTGGCTGGCTGCGAGTAGTGGCAGCTGGCGGCTGGCGGCTGATGGCTGTGGTCGGCGGCTGGTTTCCGGTGGCAGCTGGAGCCAGTGGTTGGCTGCTGGCAGCTGGCGACTGGTGCTGTCAGCTGCTGGCTGGCTGCTGGAGGCCAAAGCTGACGGCTGGCAGCTAGTGTCGGCGGTGAGTGATTGGCAGCTGGCAGTTGGCGGTTGGCGGCCGTCGGCTGGCGCTGGCGGCTGGTGCTGGTTGCTGGCGGTTGGCTGCCAGCTGCTAGCAGCTAGCTGGTGGCAGCTGGCGTTGGCGGCTGGCGCTGGCTAGCTGGAGCTGGTGCTGGCAGCTGGCACTGGCTGCTGGCTGTTGGCTGCTAGCTCTGGTGGCGAGTGGCTGGTGCTGGCTGGCTGGCGCTGGCTGGCTGGCGCTGACTAGCTGGAGCTGGCGATGGCTGCTGGCTGCTGGCTGCTGGCGGCTGGCTGCTGGCGGCGAGTGGCTGCTGGTGCTGGCTGGTGCAAGCTGGCGTTGGCTGGCGTTGGCTGGCACTGGCTGGCTGGCGCTGGCTAGCTGGAGGTGGCGCTGGCTGCTGACTACTGGCGGCTGGCGGCTTGTGCTGGCTGCTCGCTACTGGCTGTTGGCGCTGGCGGCCAGCGGCTGGTGGTGGCTGGCGAAAGCGAGCTGGCGGTTGCTGGCTGGCGGCGGCGAACAGCTAGCTGGTGGCTGGCTTTGGCGCTGGCGCTGGCTGTCGCTGGCGAGCTGGCGAGAGCTGGTGAGCTGGCTGGCACTGGCTAGTGGGCGGCGGGACGGCGGCGGTGGCGAGCTGGCTGGCCGCCACAGACGGCGAGCTGGCTGGCCCGCTGGCGGGCGGCGTGCCGGCTGACTTGGGTGCTAGCTGGCTGACGCACTGGCTGGCGTGCTGGCTGGCGTGGTAGCTAACTGGCTGGCGCACTGGCTGGCGAGCTGACTGGTGACTAGCGGGCTGGCTAGTGAGTCGGCTGGCGAGTGCGCTGGCTGGCTGGCTAGCGCACGAAACGGAGGGGGGAAGGGGGGGGGGGGGGGGGGGGGGGGGGGGGGGGGGGGGGGGGGGGGGGGGGGAGGGGAGACTACGGAGCGCAAAATTGGAGAGCAGAGTTGCGCGGAAAAAAAAAAAAAAAAAAAAAAAAAAAAACCTATACTACGAGTGGAAGCGTGGCGCTAAGGAGAACCTATCCCTAGATCGATACCATGTAAGATTAGCGCTGAAAAAAATGACTAAGAAGGGGGGGAGGGGAGATACAAATGCAAAGTGTTGTCCCCCCTAAGAGCTGTCCTAGCTAGGTTATAACAAACATATCCAACCTAGCTAGATATACAAATATGTTTGTTGACAACATACTCCAGAGCTCAGACTAGTAGTGCCACTGTGGATTAATGTTTCGTATTAGGCTCTGCCCCTATCCAGGCTAGGGGGTGAGTTAGCATTTATATATATCATAGGAATATACTTATAAGCTATAACCTAGCTAGAGTCAGTTAATATAGTATACAACACGTAGGCACAAAACTTTGTTGTTGTATTCTCTCTAGTCAACATTTCTCTCGACAATGTCCTCCTTCCATTTTGATAGGGGTGTTGTTCCTTAATTCCGTTATTACTACCAGCTTACAACGGACACCCGTTGTCAGGAAGGTGGAATAATGGATGGGGGTTTCGTAACTTTAGCGGGGATGGCGGATTCACGCAGATGGGGGGAGTTGAAGAAGAGGGGGGGGATGTTGCCGCTATTAGAAGGAAAATTGCCCGCCGAGAGGGCGTGGTACATGGCTCTGATCAGTACGCAGTCATTTCGGAATGCGGATGGTGTGAAGTAATTGTGAGAGTAGGCTTGGAAATAGCCTAAAGCCAAGCAAACATTCTAATCACACCGAGCCTCTTGGAATTCGGGGCTGTACCAATCACCAGAGTAGGAAAGGTTGGAATACGGAATGCGTAAAGTGCACCTGCTTGCGGATGCGGGGAAATTTTTCGAATCGATGGTCGATGTGAATTCCAGCTTTCTAGCAAGAAGAAGGGGGAATACAACCCAATTTCCCGCACTACCTAACCTAGCGAGTCAACAAAGGGAATCCGAGAAGCTTGCAGCGGCTACCACATTCCTCATTCCCTATTCTGGAATGACGGCATACCAATCAGGGCCCATGGGTTGCGCATTGCCTCGAAACCGCAACTGAAGGAAAACCGAAACCAAAATCAGCTCAAACCCGTTTTTCAGATGCCATGCGAGTTTCGGCGAGAATTAGGTAACCAGACTGGGTTGCGCAACTTGATGGGTTGCGCAGCCCGTGTACCACACGGGTTGAGCAATGGGGCGGAGTATTCTGCTGTCAAGGGAAACGTTCTAAGGGCGTGTCCAGCGCGTACGTTTCGGGCATTGAAAGGGTCAGGTACATACTAGGAAGACGCCACAAATTGTACTATCGGGTGTCAACATAACGTCCCGTGTCCCCAAGACCGAGGACCCTGGTGTATTGCTGGAATGACTCCCGGGTAGACACGTGCACGAATCACAACCAAACAAGAAATTTCGTCAGCCAAGGGTCAAAATGTTCGCACAAGGCGTTTTCGTGCATGACGGAAAATTTTCTGTGGTTACGAATCATTGCGCATACGGGGCAAGACCAGACGTGCCTCTGTACGTTTTCAGCCGTTTTAAATTTTGTGCGAGAGTACAGGTGCGTTTTTGTATCAAGAATTGTGTAGGTCCGCGTAGGGGTTAAACATCACTCTGCACTGTGTTTTGGGTGTACTGTACCCTTTGTACGATAAACGTGGCGTGCTGGACATGCCCTAACGTGTACATCGGTGGCAAAACGCCACCGCCTACATACACTGGTGAAGTATCGAGAACACGGATGGCTGGTGCTCATGGGAGTGGGCAACGGGGTGGGTATCGAATGCGATCGTCGACGTGACGTCGTCAGGCTGGGCAGCATTGTCTCGTTCCCCTCGCAAGTTGACACCGTCGCCTGCGCTACTCGCGCGGCGCATCCGCCCTTCGTCCGCCGCGACAATTGTCTTCACATCCCAAAAATTAGGGTGGCAAAATGTTACCCCCATGACTAGTGCAAGTGACTTGGGGTTTCACGCCTGGGGGTAACCCTTGGGCTTCCAACTACGTCACCTCGGGAAAACCAGCGGCTGGAATGCCTTTCGAGGTAACCCTCGGATTGCCTCTTGATGTCACCCTCGCAACACCAACTTGTCACCTTTGGGTGCGTCGGGGGGAACGTAAGGTAAACAGGGTTCCTGCTAAGTTTTTAAGCCGTCTGAAAATCAGACGGGGTTTCAAAAATTTCGTCTGACCAACATACAACCTTGTAGGCTTAGTCCTGTCTTTTCAGACAAGTCAAACACGACATTGTCTTGGATTTCAGATGAATAATCAAAGCCTACAAGCTACATATTCATGACATTTCCACCAGTTTAAGAGGGTAATAGCTAGCACACACCTGCTACTTAGATGTTAGGCCTATCTACTATCGTCTACAAGCTTCTACAAAATACTGGCAAGACCTCTGGCCATTAGATTTCTAGGTACTACCAATGGCTTTTGCTTTCTTCATACCGCTGTCCTGCTGCACCTGACTTCTTCGAGCTACTGCCTTGCTGCACCTGCCAAATTCAAGCCATTGTCCTACTAATGCTGTCTTGTTCAAGCCAGTGTCCTGCTGTTGCTGCCTTCTTCAAGCCAGTGCCCTGCTGCTGCTGCCTTCTTCAATCCATTGCCCTGCTGCTGCTACCTTAATCAGAGTCATTGCCACTGCATTCTCCATCATGCTCCTCTTCGTCACTAGAGCTCTCGGGGTAAACCATCTTGCCCTTGCCCTTCTCTTCCATGCAGGGCCCACTGGCCCATCCTCATCGAACACCCGCGCCGCCTCAGCTGCTGCAATCGCCTCTGCCTCACGTGCTGCTGCTGCTGCTGCTGCTGCTGCCTTAGCTGCTGCCCTTGCCGCCTTCAATGCTGGAGACCTTTTCTTCAGCCTCTTTGCCGAACGGGAGCCCTCCGCCATCACCACCTCCTTTGCAGGGCACCTCTTCGTTGCATTGTGCCACTTAGTCACCATGCAGTCCCACTGTATCTCGTAGTCCAGAAGCGACAGCGTCATCGGATCACTCAGCTTCGCATCGTAGAGGTTGCCATGCAGCTGTCTCTTTATCACGTTCTGGCGGCTGAAGCCGCGCTTGCACTCAACGGTTCTCAATGGCAGCACTGCCACGAATATCCAGAGGTTGACGACGTTGGGGTTGGATGTCTTCTAGTCGGGCATGGACAGCATGTGCTTCAAGCTGGCGTGGAAGTCGAGGTCGTCTTGGTGGGTCAACATGATGGTGGTGAAACTGCTCAGCTCTCTCTTCGCATTTCCCCAGTGTACTCCTACACATGGTACAGTGATATATCAGGGTTAGAATAGAGCTATCGGAATTAGAGATGCGATGTCAAGAGAGGGGCTTTACTTGGATCAGGTTACATCAGGTTACGTCAAATGGCATCCAACAAGGTTACTAGACCATGAAAGCTTACCAGACAGGGTGTCGGGGGCGGAAGCATCGCGCTTCCATAGGCAATGAAGGGATTGCAACCACTCTAGAAACTTGTGCTCCCTTTTTGCTATCGTCCTGGGGTACAACCCTTGCTTGAATAGCCGCGTGCCATTGAGAGAGGCGAGATCTTTGAGCCGTCCTTGGAGCTTGCTGATGATGGACAGCACGACTGCAGTAGCAAGCTCTTGCAGTGAGCCCACGTCACCGCCACTAATATGCCCTCAATGTCTTCTGTCGAAAGCTCGTACGTGTGTGTGGTCGGTGCTCCATTTGCATCGACACCATGAATCGTCACGTCCAACCCCGACGCATACAGTTGCAGGAAATCGTGCAAGTTCACCTCAGTGGGGCCAAATTGGGAGCCGTGGTTGACGTAGGGGCCCACAGTGCCAGGATGGTGTTGTCTACCATCCTAAGCACCTGAGTGACATCGACTTGTCTAGAGAAATAGAAAGGGAAACTTTTATTAACATTTCATGTTAAGCTTAATATCAATGTTAAAACCCTCACCTGACGGCGTTGGAATATGAGATTCAGGGCATTGAGCTCCTTCAAAACGCCAGCCAGGAAATACAATAGAGAATGAAACCTCAAAGAAACTACAAGGTCATTCATTGCAGTGTCATACTCCCTCAGCAACAGAATAGCAGCAGGAAACACATCAACCAGTCGCTGGATGGCCTCACCCCGAGACAACCAAAGGATGTTGTATATCCCCTGCATCTCGAGGTTGGTCTCGATGACGACCTCTTGAAGCTCCTTGACGTGTGAGTGCACCACGATCGAGCGGCCGAGGATGTCGGCCAGCGATCTCACCACCATCCCGAGGGTGATGCTCACCAGTTGATGTCCACCCTTTGTGCCTCCAGGTGCGTCAACAGCACGGCTTGCAGCGATGCCGCGTCACAATTCTCGACCGTCAAGTGCGCGAAAAACTCTGTCACCACAACCCCCTCGCGTAGAAAAGTCAGGTACACAATCATGTGTTTTCCGCGACGCCCTCTCGTCTAGTTGAATGCCGATGAAGGGGCCGGCCTTGATGTGATTCATCTACTTTGCACGTAGGTAGCCGGCCACGCTTTCCCCTAGCTGGTTGAAGCCGTACCTATTCAATGAAATAGTACAAAAAACGGAATTAGAGAGAGGTGTACGACACTCGGATAAATCACAATCAACACCCATGCTGCAGTAGAGTTCAATTAAAGCATTGGACATACTCACTTTGACCTGTGCCGCGCTCCTCTTTGGCAGATCAGGAGTTCCTTGATCTGCCATGAATTGAGCGAGCGAAACAAACATTTGTACAGGGGCATCGGACTTGCAAATGAAGTGGACGATTGCCATAAGGTGCTTGAGACACTTCACCTCCGTGTCGCCGTTTTCGAACTCGTTGATGGATCGCTGTTTCGCCTTCTTCCCATCACGCTGCTCCTTGCGCACCATCGCGGCCTCGTGCTTCGTGCTGTGTTGATGCTTTCGCATAGTCTGCTTCTGAATGTCTATCCCGCCTTCCCCGTTCTGCCCGTACTGGTAATCAGGATCATCTCCGTGCACCATGCAGACGGTTAACTTCATCAGGGGCGTCCCTCCGAAGTATCCGAGATGATAAGCTAGGGGAAATGACGCTGCCATTGCTCTTGCGCCTTTAGCTGCAGCTCTTCCAGCGACAAGGGAAACAGGCCGTCATCATCGGGCGACGAGCTGGGGCGAGGGTCACTGCGGGGGCGCTAATCGCCGAGGCGAACAGTGGGCATGGAGGCGGGGGACGCCGTGCGTCCAAACGTGAGCTTCCGCTGCTGGTAGCGGACCTTTCCAGACTTCCTCACAAGAAGGACCGGACCACCGAAAAGGCAAACGGACGGCTCGGCAGAAACCGTTGGCGCGACATGGGTGGAAGGACTATGAGGCAGCTCTGACGTAGGAGACGACGCGCCTTTAGGGACGAGAGTGATCCAAGGTTCGGTATCTAGCGGGGGAAGAGGGTTACTCAGGGCGGCTACAGTAGATGCAGTGCGAGGAGGTGCCGACGTGGCAACAGGAGCTGCGTGAGTGAGCAGGTCGATGCCAGAAACCTTCAGGGGAGCGTCAACTACGGGCTGAACGGTGGGGCAATCTGTTACTGGCTTTGAGGAACCAGCAGCGGATGCCATCACTCACACGCACTGAGGACGTTGTAGGCTGAGGAAGGGGCACACACGAGCGCAGAGTAGAAGGCTGAGTCGAGGCACGGAGGTGTCGAACAGGTGCTGTTGCTAATGCTAGGAAAGGACAGACCGATGGGACATGTATTGAGGAAAGGGAGGTTTTGAGCTGCATTTAGCCAATGGCGCCTCGACATTCTGCATGGCTCGGTTCCTGATTTAGCAAGAAACCTACGCTGCACTGGCCTTCGGCGTGGGCGGCTTTTCTACCTTACAGGCTATGCGCTGGCGGAATGCTGCCCACGCGCACTGCGTGAAAGCTGGCAGCGAGCCAGCTCATGCGTTAATAGACGGAACGGTGGCAGCAACCTGAGTCAGGATTCTTGCCCCGCATCGCAAATTTATTATGCGTGCATTCCTTGGGGGGACAGGATGGCATAGGTGGCCCAGTGGGCACATGTTGTTAAAATTATATAAGTTATAATTTAATATAGGCTTGGTAGGTTGTTACTGAACCTTTCAGTAGAGGGTACAAACCCCTCCTTGTACTCCTCTCTCTTCCTAATCGACTCTCTTCTTTCTCGACATTCTCCTACCCGCTCCTAGATCTACTTTCCTCACGCCATTCCATGGCGGCATTCCTAGTATCCTAGCTGAGCTAGTGTCCTAACTGCAGGAACCTAGTCTCCTAAGTTCCTGAGACATGTGGATGCTGGGGATTGGCCTAGATGGCGGGTTTGTCGTAGTCAGACGAAAAAATCCCCGTTATCTGGAATCTCAGACAGCCTGGTACACTTGCTCGAGAAAATGATGACATTTATGCGCAAAACAATAGCTCACTCAATCTTCGTCACTGCCGCCCCGATACAAAAAAATCACTACACTCAATATATCCACTGTTTAATTACTTACCTCGATAGTAGCACAACTACTACATTAACGGGTATGTCAGTAGTTATAAATTTACTGTAGAACTGAGGGCAGCTTCATTGTGACCCGTTGTAAACCTCCTTATTACGCACATGTAGTTATTACAAAAGCTTAGCTTATCGCCTTACAATCCGTTTTATCACAACACAAAGCATGCAAAACAAGGTGGTTAATTTAGCTGCAATTACCTAGGGTTTTTGCGCAGATTCTTTCTCCTCGTAACGCCAACTTAGCGCATTAGGTTAGCTTGCCTACGCATACCACTAACACCTCCTTCCCAGCCTACGCAAGCACTGCTGCTGCATGGCCATCTGGCTGGTAGCCGTTCGCTGCACACACGAACATTGCCAAGCACAATATCAGGTGTGAAAGAGTGGCCTGCATCCATCCTTGCACAGGCCCGCGTAAGTCTGGGTTTGAAACGGTTTACAACACCAAGTAATTCCACGCAGACGCCCACTTACCCCGTGGCAGTTGCACGAAATTACCAACGAATAAAGGCCAGCTATACAGGGAGGGGAGGGGGAGGGAGGGAGGGATGGGAGGGGGTGACAATGAGGATGTCGAGGAAAGGGGGGGAGACAGAGTGCGGCAAAAAAGACGCAAGAAGGGCGGGCGGGGGGGGGGGGGGGGATAACGAAAAGGGGGGCAATGAGGAAGTGCTACAATCATACCTGAATACGGTGAGGAGCCACTTGAGCTTGATAGGGACGCGCGGCGAGCACCGCGAGAAGCTCACGCATCCCGCTTGACGTGCACCGCAAGTAGCTCGTGCGTCCCGCCCAACGTGCATCGCGGGAAGCTCACGCGCCCGACGTGCACCGCGAGAAGCTGCGCGACTGGCATAGGGGAACGGTAAGGAGGGGGAGTACGGGAGGAAGATGGAGAAAGATTATGCTCATGGGAATAGAAAACCTGAACAGAAACAAGAGGTTGGCTCGGGACGATGTCGCCACAAAACGTGTCTGACATACCCATTTGGTGTTGTTATCTGGGTCGTATCCAAGTGAGCCGAATAGAGGCGGAACTTCGTACCAAAAGCGACACTACAAGAAGCTGTTTCACATCACATATGTCGAGAGTTGATGGTACCGAGTACTTCTTTACTTGAATCCCAAGACGCCGAGCACACCCTACAAATTTTCGGGAAAACGCATGAAGCCAGGAGGTTCGCTCGAACTTGGATAAGTCAAGAAATAGACCAATGGGTATAAACCTAACGATGCATTCATTGGTCAGCCAGTCGAGGCTTACCCATCACTTTCATACCCCATTATATAGGGTTCGTAAAAAACTATTGTTCTGTCCATCATATGACACGCTTCTACACGAAATTCGCTTGTCGGCTCAAGTCGTGATCTTGTCGTCTAGCCAGAGTGCTCAGGCTCGGCTAGCGTCTTGGTCCGGACCCAACCTGTGAAGTTACCCGCAAGTCACCTCCAACCGAGCTTGCGCCCTATTGGCTGGTCGGACCCCACGCGACACCTGTCGAGATTTTCGCGATTTTCGTGCGCGTCGCCACTGCCCCAGGTAACCCCGATGGGTCTTGCATTGAACTTTGGATAGTCTGGGGGGTGAGGTTGCCCACGGGTGTCCCATGCTCCCAAGGGTAGAAGGGGTTTCAGGAATTTTGGGATGCAGACCTGACTGGCATTCCTGGGCGCCTCGGCGCGAGTGGCGGTCGCTCAGGAGCATTGCGAGCAAGGCAGGCGACTCGCGCACCGAGCCTCGGAGGAACGTGTTGGGGTCAGCTCGGCAGCAGAGAGGGCTTCGCTTCGGTGAGAACCGTCGATCGGCTTGAACGCGTCGACCCGTCACCAGCGTGCGCGGCCGCAGCGGTGCTTCCCTCCCGAGAGCCGTGCGATCGTCGCGTACCTCCACGTCACGCGTCGCTCGTTGCCTCGCGAGTTGACGCCGTCGCCTCCGCTCGCGCGCCATCCATCTGCTGCCGGCGATCGTGCCTCAGGAGCAACGCACGTGCCTCGTTGTACCCGACCTTGGAGCAAGCCAGCCTTGGAGCAAGCCAGCCTTGGAGCAAGCCAGCCTTGGAGCAAGCCAGCCTTGGAGCAAGCCAGCCTTGGAGCAAGCCAGCCTTGGAGCAAGCCAGCCTTGGAGCAAGCCAGCCTTGGAGCAAGCCAGCCTTGGAGCAAGCCAGCCTTGGAGCAAGCCAGCCTTGGAGCAAGCCGGCCTTGGAGCAAGCCAGCCTTGGAGCAAGCCAGCCTTGGAGCAAGCCAGCCTAGGAGAGAGCCAGCCTTGGAGCAAGCCGTCCTTGGAGCAAGCCAGCCTTGGAGCAAGCCAGCCTTGGAGCAAGCCAGCTTGGAGCAAGCCGGCCTTGGAGCAAGCCGGCCTTGGAGCAAGCCGGCCTTGGAGCAAGCTGGCCTTGGAGCAACGGGTGCAGCAGAAAGGGACTTGGTTTGGCGATGGGGCGGGAGGATGGCGCGCGGAAGGAGTGCGACGACAGGGAAGAACGAGCGAACCAACTCAGTCGGCCCAGTAGTGATGCCGGAGCTGAGCCCTTTAACGGGGATGGCTCTCAGCGGCGTGGCAGCAAGCGGGCAGCTCGGGAGGAGAGGGGGAGATGCGGCGGAGGGGAGGGGGAGAGGGGGACACTGGAGAGGGCTGGAGGGGAGGCGGCGAGGGGGAGGAGGAGGAAGAATCGCAGGAGGGCAGGGGAGACGCGGAGGCGGCAGGGTGGGTGGCGTGGGGCAGCGGAAGAGACGGCGGGGATGGCGGCACGTGAGGGAGGGGAGAGGGGCGGTGGAGGGGTGGTGGGTGGAGGGAGGGAGGGAGAGAGTGAGGGAGATGGGGAGGAGAAAGGAGAGGCAGGGCAATGGAGAGGAGAGCAGGGGGAGGGGGCATGTGGGAGAGGCGCGAAGGGGTAGGCGATGTAGGCGCCGGGGTTGGCGTTGGGAGTGGCGGTTATGGCATGGAGGTGGATGGGCGCGTGGGTGTGAGAGCGGGGGGCAAGCGAAAAAGGAGAGGCAAGCAGCGGGATGCGCAGTGGCGGGGACGACCGGGTGGCCTTGCTGCGCCGGAGCGAAAGGGGACCATGCAGGGAGGGAGCCACCAGCTCTATTTATGGCGGCGTGCGGCCGGCTGCCTGCTGTGAGGGGGGCGGCAAGACAGTGTCCGTGAATGTGCTTATAGGGAGGGGAACGCGGGAGAAGGTTCGGAGAGAAGCTGGGAGTGATGGAGTGATGGCTGCAGGGAAAGCGGAAGGGGGAAAAGGAGATAAGACAATCTCAGTGAATGTGCTTGTAGGGAGGGGAACGCCGGAAAGGATGACAAGAGAAGCCGGTGGAGTGGGAGTGATGGTCGCAGATAAGAAGGATGGGCGTCCAACAGCAGGGGGAAACGGGGATAAGACGGTCTCTGTGAACGTGCTTGTAGGGAGGGGAACGCCTGAAAAGGCGGGGAGAGAAACAGGGGGAGAGGGAAGGAAGGTAGCAGGGAACGACCAAGGGAGAGCAACGGAGGGTAAGGGACCCAAATTGGTGTCTGTGAATGTGCTTATAGGGAGGGAGATAGGGGAACCAGGATGGAGGCGAGCAAGTGGAAGAGCGGTGAAACAAGTGCGGAGATGGCGGGCAAGACGCGTGGTGAGAAGCAGAGTTGTAGCGACGGCAGGGGCAGTGAGGGCAAGGGCAGTGAGGGCAGGTGGAGAAGCAGGCATGCGACAGTCACAGGCGATGGCAGACAGCGCGAGTTGCAGGCGGGCAGCAGTGGGGGAGTCACCAGTGCTTGCAGCTCTGGCAGCGGTGATGGGACAGGAGCGAGAGCGATGCTTGCAGCAGTGGGCTCGAGATGCTGGGGGCGAGGAAGGGAGGAGATAGAACGCGCGAGGGAGAAAGAGGAGGGCGAGAGGGAGATAAGGACAGGAGCCACGAGAGGGTAAAGACGAGGGGTATGGACAGAAATGGTGAGGGCAGGCAAACTGAGTTTGAGGGGGAGATGAGCGGCTGCAGGAAGAAATGCAGGGGGGAGAAAACGAGGGAGAGAGGGACAGAGAAAGGCACCGAGGGTTTGTTGCGGAGAGAAAGTCTGCTGCACGAGAGGGAGAAAGAGCAATGGACGTAGCAGGAGGAGCAACACATGGGGCAGAGCAAGGGCGAGCAGCTGTGGGCAAGAGAGCAGGGGATTTCCCGTCGGCACCGTTGTTTACTGATCGATCAACGGCTGCGGTTGCTTCCCTGTCTGCATATACATCAACGGCAACTGTTGCTCCACCTGGCTTCAATCTGCACCTGACCTCCCAGCCCATGCTTCTCCGTCTCCCTCCCCCCCTTGCCTCTCCCGCCCCCTTTCCGCTCCTCTGCCTGCCACCACCTGCCAACCCCACAGTACCACCTGCCAACCCCACAGCACCACCTGCCAACCCCACAGCACCACCTGCCAACCCCACAGCACCACCTGCCAAGCCTACAGCACCACCTGCCAAGCCCACACCACCACCTGCCAACCCCACACCACCACCTGCCAAGCCTACAGCACCACCTGCCAAGCCCACAGCACCACCTGCCAACCCCACAGTACCACCTGCCAACCCCACAGCACCACCTGCCAAGCCTACAGCACCACCTGCCAAGCCTACAGCACCACCTGCCAAGCCCACAGCACCACCTGCCAAGACCACAGCACCACCTGCCAAGCCTACAGCACCACCTGCCAACCCCACAGCACCACCTGCCAAGCCCACAGCACCACCTGCCAAGCCTACAGCACCACCTGCCAACCCCACAGCACCACCTGCCAACTCCACAGCACCACCTGCCAAGCCTACAGCACCACCTGCGAAGCCCACAACACCACCTGCCAACCCCACAGCACCACCTGCCAACCCCACAGCACCACCTGCCAAGCCTACAGCACCACCTGCCAACCCCACAGCACCACCTGCCAACTCCACAGCACCGCCTGCCAAGCCTACAGCACCACCTGCCAAGCCTACAGCACCACCTGCCAACCCCACAGCACCACCTGCCAAGCCCACATCACCACCTGCCAAGCCTACAGCACCACCTGCCAACCCCACAGCACCACCTGCCAACCCCACAGCACCACTGCCAACCCCACAGCACCGCCTGCCAAGCCACAGCACCACCTGCCAAGCCCTGCGTCGTGACGGCCCTAGCTGCAGCAGCGCTCTGCACCCAGGGAAGCACTTCTCCCCTGCCCTCCCGCCTCCTCTCTCTGCCCTCCCGCCCCCTCTCTCTGCCCTCCCGCCCCCTGTCTCTGCCCTCCCGCCCCCACTCTCTGCCCTCTCGCCCCTGTCTCTGCCCTCCCGCCCCCTCTCTCTGCCCTCCCGCCTCTTGCCCCCCCAAGGCCAGCGCCTCAAGCCGCTTTAGAACCCCCCACATCCCAACCTACCACTCATGAAGCTTCCAACCGCATTCCTTGCCTTGGCAAGCCTCCAAACCTTCCAGGCCTGCAGGCTTGGTTGCTTCCTTGGTCCAACCGAGGCTGGTGGTGCTGGCCCTGCCTGCCCCTGGTGGCGTAGAAATGGGAGGGGGGGGAGGGCAGGCAGGGGCGAAAGGAGTGTGCGGGGTGAGAGGAGGGTGAGGGGTGGGAGGGTGGTGGTGGGGTGGATGGGGCGAGAGGCAGTGCTGCAGAGGGGCAAGGGAGGCGGAGAGAGTTGCCAGTGCGGTTGAATGAAAGGGTTGGGGAGAAGGAGGAGTGGATTCGAGGAGAGGGGGAGGCGTGGGGAGACGGGGAGGGAGAGGGGGAGTCAGGAGGAAGGGGAGGGTTGGGCAGTGAAGAGGGGCGTATGGCACGAGGCAAGGCGGTTAGAGCGATGCTGGAAGTCTTGCCCAGTGGTAGTGGCGATGGTGGAGGTGGTGGTGGTGGTGGTGGTGGTGGTGGTGGAAGGGCAGCAGGAGCAGTGGGGAGAGTGGTGGCAGTGGAGGTAGGGGTGGTGGTGATGGAAGTGGCTATGTTGACGGTGGTGGCAGGGGAGCTGTGGCGGCAGGGGCAAGCGATGGTGCTCGCCGTGGTGACAGCCACGGCTGCAGTATGGAGGCGGCTGCACGCGCAGATACTGACGCCGGTCGTGGTGGTGGGAACAGGGAGCCCGTGCGGGGTAGCAGGAGTCAGAGGGCTTCAGGGTGGCGGCTGCAGCACCGTGCACCAGACCTTCGCCCAGAGAGGGAGGGTGAGAGTAGGGCGGAGACGGAGGCAGAGAGGGAGGCAGAGAGGGAGGCAGGGAGGGAGGCAGAGAGGGAGGCAGAGAGGGAGGCCATGCGGAGATTGGGCTTTGCCCCCCACTGAGGAGAAGGCGGCGAGTTGTAACGGGCGGAGAGGCAGGAGGAAAGTGGGGGGAGGGAGCGGAGGAACGCCCGGGAGAGCGGTTGGCTGGGAGCCGCACTGCTGGGTCGCATGGGAGCAGCTCTAGCAGTGGCTGTGATGCCAGTAGCTCGGATGGTTATGGCTCGGTTGGTGATACCTCGGTTGGTGATACCTCTGATGGTGATACCTCGGATGCTGCAAGCTCTCATGGCGGTACCTCTCTTGGCGGTACCTCTGGTGAGGCTAGGTCAGAAGCGTCACATGAGTGCGGAAGCGAGGATGGTGATGCTGCCTGTGGCCATGGCAGTGGCACTGGGGTGGGCGGTGAAGGGGAGGGCGGCAAGCATTCTCCCCAGCGCAGGGAGCAGAGAGGGGCGGGCGAGGGAGAGGAGGAGCAGGTGGAGCACGGCGTGATGGCAGAGGTGGGTCACTCAGCGTCTTCTGTGCTGCACTGTGCACTGTGAAGTCCAGGCGTGATGGCAGGCGGGATGGCAGGCGGATGGCAGGCGTGATGGCAGGCGGGATGGCAGGCGTGATTCTTTGTGTTGCCCGCTTACTTTCCACTTGAGCACTCTACAACCTGCACTGTGTCCCCTCCCCATTCCGCACCAGCTCGCATCAATCAAGGCTCGCCTGGAAGAAGCACTGCTCTCAGTGGAAGCGGTAGGTCAATACCCACTACTTTGCTCTCACGGAAAAAAAGCACACATTCTCCTCTGCCCAGCCCCAGCCCCACGATTGGGTGTGCTTTGATTTTCCCAGTACTTGCGTGGTTGCAGATTTCTTCAGCATTTCTTCAAAATCTCTTGACTTTCTGCAAGACATTTCAGTTAAGAGCACAATGGCGTGAAGAAGGATACTTGCCATGCAACAGCAACCCACAGATGCCCAGTCATTCTCTTCCTCCAACCATCCCCCCCCCTCCTCCCTCCAGCTGGCCCAAGCGCGTGTGCTGCTGTGGTACCTGGCCGGTCTTGACATCTCCCCGCCTCTCCTCCGCCGCTCGGGCCTCCTCTCCTGCATCGCCTGCCTCGCCTCTCTCCCCAACCCCTCCCCCGTGCCAATGCCCCAGCCACACCACACCACATGCCATGCATCTGCTGCTGCTTCTTCTGCTGCTGGCGCTTCTGCTGCCGCTGCGGCTCCGTCCCAGCAGTACGGGCAGCAGGCAGGCGGCGCAGAGTGGCAGAAGCAGCAGAGGGGAAAGCACATGGCTGAGAGGGCGCGGCTGCTGCTGGCGGACCGTGCGATGGCGCTGCACAGACAGTGGACGGGGGAGGGGTGATGGCAGCACTGCAGAGTGGGCAGACTGAGGCAGGCAGCTCAGGAGTGTGTCTGCATGCATGCAAGGCAACGGCAGTTGAGTGCAGTCCTGCGCACAAGGCATTGAGAGATGCCACAATCTGGTTAGCATATTTATGATGGCTCAATTCAAATGGATACTTATAATGGTAGGAGTGATTGTGGTGCATGATGCATACAGCAGAGGAATGTGAACAAGAGCTATACCAGTGAGAAGAAGTTAACATCATTGTAAATCATGACAATCGCTAGTATTGTATGGTGTACCACATTGTTATATATACATAAGCTATGCATATGCTAGTTGAAATACTACCTCTACCCTGTCAACTCATATATGTTATGCATGTAGAAGCTATAGGCTAGTATCGGTGCGTGCTCCTAGTGAGTACAACCCAACTGCTATATGTGTCATGTTTTCCCTTCTAGTAATTCATTCACGTATTCTAACATGGTATCGAGTAGGTTAGGTTCACCCGCCCGCTTCTGCCCGCGCCCTAGTCTCTCGCCCGCCCCTAGCCGGCCCCCTGGCCGTCGCGTCCGCCCCTAGCCGGCCCCCTGGCCGTCGCGTCCGCCCCTAGCTGCCCCCCTGGCCATCGCGTCTGCCCCTAGCTGGCCCCCTGGCCGTCGCGTTCGCCCCTAGTCGGCCCCTTGGCCGTCGCGTCCGCCCCTAGTCGCCCCCCTGGCTGTCGCGTCCGCCCTCAGCTGGCCCCCTGGCCGTTGCGTCCGCCCCTAGTCGGGCCCCTGGCCGTCGCGTCCGCCCCTAGCTGGGCCCCTGGCCGTCGCGTCCGCCCTCAGCTGGCCCCCTGGCCGCCGCGTCCGCCCCTAGTCGGCCCCTGGCCGTCGCGTCCGCCCCTAGCTGGCCCCCCTGGCCGTCGCGACCGCCCTGGCCGGCCCCCTGGCCGTCGCGTCCGCCCCTAGCTGGCCCCTTGGCCGTCGCGTCCGCCCCTAGTCGGCCCCCTGGCTGTCGCGTCCGCCCTCAGCTGGCCCCCTGGCCGTCGCGTCCGCCCCTAGTCGGCCCCCTGGCCGTCGCGTCCGCCCCTAGCTGCCCCCCTGGCCGTCGCGTCCGCCCCTAGTCGGCCCCTGGCCGTCGCGTTCGCCCCTAGTTGGCCACCCTGGCCGTCGCGATCGCCCCTAGCCGGCCCCCTGGCCGTTGCGTCCGCCCTAGCTGGCCCCTTGGCCGTCACGTCCGCCCCTAGCCGGCCCCCTGGCCGTCACGTCCGCCCCCAGCCGGCCCCCTGGCTGTTTGCGCCCGCTCCTAGCCGGCCCCCTGGCCGTTTGCGCCCGCCCCTAGCTGGCCCCACTGATCGTCGCGGCCGCTCCTAGCTGGCCCCCCCTGGCCCCATGCGCCCGCTCCTGGCCGGCCCACTGACCGTCGAGCCCGCTCCTAGCCAGCCCCAGCAGCGCCCGCCCGGCCCCTCCTCGCGCCCGCCCGGCCCCCAGCCGCGCCTGCCCGGCCGCCCCGCGCGTGCTAGGCCCCTCCTAGCGCCCGCCCGGTCCCAGTGCGACCGCCCGGCCCCTCCTCCTGCCCGCCCGGCTCCTCCTCGTGCCTGCTCGGCCTGCCGTGCCACCTCGGGCCCCATGTCCTCTGCTAGCCCGCGCTGGGGCGCCCCTGCAGCCGCCCTACTGAAGAGTGCTGCCGCCGTGTCCCCGTGCCGCTGTGCTCCTGCAGAGCTGTGGAGCTGTGCCGCCGTGTCGCTGACCCTGCACGATGGCTGACTTCGTGCTCCGCCTGGACGCTGAGGGCCACGCGGTTGACTTCGCCGCCTGGCTCTCCGATCTCCGCCGTCAGCTTACAGGTCAGCGCAAGGATGGACACTTGCTGGTTGTCCATGCTGATGGCTTGCTCCCCCGCCCCCCTACACCTGCTCCCCTCCCTGCTGACCCCACCTCCGCTGAGAGTGAGGTTTTCTCTACTGCTGCGCTTGCCAGTGCGGTCTGGGACTTACGCGATGCAGTAGCTCAGGTTGCTATCAGTCACGCCCTCCCTGTGTCTGAGCGCTCGCGTTTCGATACGGTTGATACGGCCAAAGCTTATTTAGACGCTGTTATTGCTCGCTATTCCACACCTGCATCCGCTTCTGCCGGCCGCCTGCTCTTCCCGATGCTGTTCCTAGACCTTGCTGCCTTCCCTACTGTCGCAGACTTTGCCACTCACTTGCGTGCCCTAGAGACTCGCTATCGCACTGCCAGCACTGGTGCCCAGCTCACTGCGCTCGCCCCCCCATTCTGCATGACCCTCTATTTTATCGCCATGCGCCTGCCGGACCGCCTAGCTAGTGCCCGCGACCGCTTCCTTAGCCAGCACCCGGGTGACCTCACACTGATCGCCTTTGTCGACACCCTCACCGAGATCGAGACGCGCCAGCGCACTATCGCTCAGTCGAGCGGTGCGCCGACAGTCTCTATCTTTCACGGCTGTGCCCCTTTCAGTGCACGTTTACTGACGTTTCGGCTGCAGACGCCACTGCGACCCCTCTTACCGAGACGTTTCGGCTGCGGTCGCCACGGTGGCTGTGGCCGCCAGGGAGGTCGTGGTGGTGGCACTGGTGGTGGTGACGGTAGTCCACCTGAGGGACTACCATAGGTGGGCAGGAGCAGACGCAGTTGCCTTCGCAGCCGGAGCAGCCCCAGCAGCAGCCGCCGCCGTCGCAGCCGTGGGCTTGTCTCCCACCTGGTTGGCCCGGCACCTCCGGCGGTGGTGGCCGAGGTGGTGGCCCGCGCAGCTTGGTGTCTACCGGCAGTTCCAGTGCTGTGACGTGCCAGTACCAGCTTCAGATCGGGCCTCTCCGCGACACTCTGTGCCGCCGCCTGCACCCGACCGCCCGCTGTTTCCGCCGCCTCGACGATCTCTTTTGTCGTCGCTTTGGCCCGGCCCCGGACCTCCCCGACTGGCACAGCCTGCTTCGCCAGGGCGTGCCGATCTTTGAGTTAGATATGGATCAGATAGGTGCTGCTTTGCATGCTTTGTATGCTGACGCTTCTAGTGTTGCTGGATCTTATTACCATGTGTACTCTAGTTTAGGTGTCTCACCCTTGTGTAGCTTAGCCTCCCCTGCTGCGTCAGGCCTAGGACTGCCTAGTTTGCCTAGCCTAGGTTCTGCATCGGCTCCGTTCCCAGCCTCCGCCACTACCTCGCTGTCCTTCACTCTCGACTCCGGTGCTTCTGCCTGTTTCTTCCGCGACCGCTCCACGCTCGCACCGCTTGCTGCGCCTGCTGTTATCGCACTCGCCGACCCCTCTGCTGGTCCTGTCGTCGCTCGTAGCTCCACTTCCCTTCCCTGTCCCGCCGTTCCCTCCGGCTCCCTTACAGGCCTCCACGTTCCCTCGTTCTCTAGGAACCTGGTTGGTGTCGCCTGTCTTCAGGACCTCGGCGTCACCACCACGTTCCTTGGGTACGAGCGGTTTGCTGTCTGTACCGAGGCTGCCACACGTTCCCCCCTTGCGACGTTCCCCCGGGACCCGGTGTCCGGTCTGTTTACCCTCGACACCACTCCCCCACCGATTGGTGCGTCCTCCCAGGTCGCTGCAGCTTGCTCGTGTCGGTCTCTCACTCACCCGTCCCTTTTGTGGCACCACCGCATAGGTCACCCTGCACTCCCGCGTCTGCGTCACATGTTCCAGCACGGTCTTGTCTTAAGCCTCCCCGCGTCGCTCCCCACCCTTCCCCTCTCGCCTGCTCCACCGTGCACACCCTGCGTCGAGGGCCGGCTCCGCCGTGCCCCTCACTCCTCCTCGTTTCGCCCAGCTACTGCTCCCCTTCAGACCCTGCACCTGGACGTTTGGGCCCAGCCCCTGTCCCCGGACCGCGTGACGAGCGCTACTTTCTTGTGCTCGTCGACGACTACAAGCGCTACACCACTGTGTTTCCCCTGGAGCGGAAGGCCGACATGCCCGACGTTCTTCTCTCGTGGGTTGTGGCTGCGCATCTTCACCGCGGTCTCTCCGTGTTGTGTCTCCACTCTGACTGTGGCGGCGAGTTCGCTTCTGGTCGGCTTGGACAGTTCTGTCATGCGGAGGGCATCACCCAGTTGTACACCTTGCCAGACTCGCCACAGACGAATGGGGTTGCTGAGCACCGCATCGGCTTGGTCATGGAGGTGGCTCGTACCTCCATGATCCATGCCGGTGCACCCCATTTTCTGTGGCCGTTCGCCGTTCGCTACGCCGCTCACCAGCTTAACTTGTGGCCACTCTCCCAGCAGCCGCAGGTTTCGCCGACCCTACTTTGAATCGGGTCCCCCGGTGACGCGTCTGCGTTCCACGTATGGGGCTGCCTTGCTCACGTTCGTGCCTCTGGCACGGACATGCTCACTGCCCGCACTGTCCCCTGTGTCTTCCTTGGTTTCCCCTTGGACTCGTCTGACTAGCTCTTCTACCACCGCAGTCTCACCGCTTCCTTCACTCTCGTGACGTCACCTTTGACGAGTCCGTCTCTTTCTACCGTCGCTTCCCTCACCGAGGTCTCCCGGTTCCCCCCCCCCTGTTCCTTGCCCCCTCTCCCCCGGTAGCCCTCCTCCCCTCCTGCCTCATCCTGCCCCGTCTGGGGTCTCCCATGTCACTCCCCTCCCGTCAGTTGTCCCCGTTGAGTAGTCTGCTGACTCTGGTGGTCCCCCCGCCCCCGCCTTTGCCGCGCCCCCCTTCCCTAGTGTCTCCGCCCCCGCTGTCGCAGTCGCCGCCGTCGTCGCCGCCACTGCCGCCGTAGCAGCCGCCGTCGCAGCCACCGCCGCCGCCGCCGCCGCTGTTGGTGCAACCCTATAGCTTGCACTCGGCTTGTCGTCCTTGTTTGTGTGTGTGCATGCATGGCATGGAATGAATTGTGAGTCTATGTCATTGCTCTCCAGTGCTTGTGTGTGTGTTTGAATGGTGTATCACAATGTGGTTTGTGTCGGTCAAGACATTTAGCGAGTTTTTACAACTCGCATGTCAAGTCGTCGTTTGTGTGTCGCATGTGTTTTTCTATTTTGTCGAGTGTGAAGTGTCCATCGTGTCGCAGGTGTGTGCAGCAGGCCCCCATCAACTCAAGAAGAATTATCTTGCAGATCCAGGAACAAGAGCTCAAGATTTCAAGCCCAAGGACGCGGATAATATTAAATAGTGGAAAATAGTAACGTTACTTCGTGTAGTGTTACATTTCACTTGGTGTAGCCCTTGGAGGGTTGGTTTCGAGACTCTTCATGGTTGGGACCCTGTGGTGGTGTACCACCAACCTGGACCTCGGCTCTTGGGGTATGTAGAGGCTGGGAACCATTTTCCCTCTCGAACTCTTCTTGCTAAGTTT